AACTCATTCTGGAGTTGGAGCCTTGCTCGGGACTTTCGGGGACCTCAGGGACAGCCAGGGCTGGTTCTCTGGCCTCACACCCCTACTGGCCTCTGCTGAGACACCCCCCTCCCACACACACACACACACACACACACTCACAAGCTTGCTTGCTGCTCCTGCCCTGAAGTTAACCCTCGCTGGCCCTTGCTGAGAGCGTTTGCTTTTTTCTGCATCAGCCGTAAAACCCCTACCACTGGAAGCTGTTTAAGAACTTGTTTATTTCATTGGGCCCACTCTCTGCCCCTGCTGGGCACTGTTTATCCTCTTCCAAAAGGCAGACGGATTTATATGGCCTGGAAACCCTCATGCGCAACACTTTTATTTTATTTTGTTATGAGCCTTAATGTTTGCTTCTCTGTTAGGAGCTGAAGCAGATAAGCACGCAGGAGGTTTTCAGTACGAGCTCTTCAACAGCCTAGAACTCATTTCGTGAATGATGCGGCTTTCTTTAAACTAGCTTTGATTTCAATTTTTTTTTTTGACACCTGCTGAACAGAATGCTGAGGGTTTGTCAGTGCTGTACCCGCATAGATGGTTTCTTTTGTTCTAAGTGAGAGCTGTAACCTCAGCATGATGGGAACCACTGGGAAGCTGTCCACACCCAGCTCTCCCAGTCTCACCCCTGGAGGTGCTGATCCACTGGAGGCTGGGGCCTGAGATTCTGTATTTCCAGGGAGCTCCCAGGCCACACCAGTCCTTTGCGTTACTAGGTGGACCAAACAGGTGTTGGACTTCTCCACACTCTCTCTGGTTGTTGTCTAAACAGCCCTTCCTAAATGTTGTGAGACCAGGACAGTGGTTGAAAACTCTCCGGCAGTTCCATGACAGGTATCCAAGGCCCACAGAGGCGTGGCTGACCTCACCGAGGCCGTGTCTGTCTCGGTTGCCATAGACTTGGTGATGCTACATTGAGTAACTTAAAGAATATTGCGCCCGGCCTCAGTTTCCCACCCTGGTTTACGCACCTGATTTCACGAGGAAAAGCATTCCAGACAAAGCCTTTCTTTTGCTTTCTGGGCAAGGAAAAATCCCAGATGTTCCTTCCCTTGGGATTATTGAGAAACATGAGACCCCTCGTCAACACCTTCTGGTCTTTGACCCTCCTATCCAGCTGGCCATGATCTCCTGGGGAGGTTACCTCCTTGAATCTAGTCATAGATCCCTAAGTCATTCCAGTGGTCGCTTTGGTCTAAACCAGGGTTTCTCATCCTCAGGCTGTTAACATTTGGGACTGAGTGAGCCTTGGTTGTGCATGGTGCTGTTAGGGTGGAGGGCATGGTTGTTCTGTGCATTGCAGGATTTTCAGCAACACCCTCAGCCTCTACCTACTTTCTAGTTGCTAGTGACACGTCCCAAGTCGCAGTCATCAGAAACACCAGCACAGTTGCAGAATGTTCTCTGGAGCCTTGGTCTCAGGCACCACCATCTTGCTCAAACCACACCTGTTCCCTCTGCTCATCTTCCTGCTCGCCTTCATTTCATTCTTTTTTTTTTTTTTAAAGATTTATTTATTTATTTGCAAGAGTTACACAGAGAGGGGAGAAGCAGAGAGGGAGAGAGAGAGAGGGGTCTTCCATCCTCTGGTTCACTCTTCAATTGCTCCCCAATTGGCCACAACAGCTGGAACTGCACCAATCTGAAGCCAGGAGCCAGGAGCTTCTTCCCAGTCTCTCATGCAAGTATGGGTGCTTTCCCAGGCCATAGCAGAGAGCTGGATCGGAAGTGGAGCAGCTGGGTCTTGAAACGCAACCCATATGGGATGCCGGCACTTCAGACCAGGGCATTAGCCCACTGAGCCACAACAAGGCCCCTCATTTCATTCTTTACCTAACACTAGAAGTGATGTCTTAGAAATGCAAATCTTCTTAAAGCTCTGCACCTTCCTGTTTCTCTAGGGTGGCTACAATGTCCTGCTGTGCTCTGGTGGGCTTCCTCTGCCCCATTCTTCTATGTTTAAAGATTTATTTTATTTATTTGAAAGACAAAGTTACAGAGAGAGGTAGAGAAAGAGAGACAGAGAGGCAGAGAGACAGAGTGAGAGAGAGAGAGGTCTTCCATCCGATGATTCACTCCCCAGATGGCTGCAAAGGCTGGAACTGCGCCGATCAAAAGCCAGGAGCCAGATGCTTTCTCCTAGTCTCCCACGCCGGTGCAGGGGCCCAAGCACTTGAGCCATCTTCTACTGCTTTCCCAGGCCAGAGCAGAGAGCTGGATCAGAAGAGGAGCTGCCAGGACTAGAACCAGCGCCCATATGGGATGCTGGCACTTTAGGCCAGGACTTTAACCAGCTGCGCCACAGCGCCGGCCCCTGCCCCCAATCTTCCCTGTATTAGTTCTTCCTGGCTTCACTGGTCTGTGAGGGTTTCCCGAGCTCCTTTGTGCCTCTGGACCCCTGTACTTGCTCTGTTTCTTACCTGGCACAGTCTTTACGTGTGCTCGTCACTAACTTACCAGTTACCCACCCCTCCCTCTCGCCCACAGTCTTTCTGTCCACGTGTATGGTTTTCTCTTCACCAGATAATGTTTCTTTCTGTCCCTCCCCTCTCACCTCCAGCATCACCACCATCAGGAAGCCAGGTGGACTCTCTGACCTCACAGACTATGCCTGCTGCCCTGACACTCCCTCTGACACTCAATGCCTCCTGCATAGCATTTGTCACAGCTGTAACCAAATAATCGGAGGAGGTTGCCTTGTCAGGGCTGTGTCCCAGGCACAGTTCCATTGCCATGGGCACTGGCTGCTCTTGGGAATGTATTGTTTGGTGGATGAATTCTAGATTGAAAGGGCTGTCTGCATCAGCTATCAAAACTTTGCATGTTGCTCACCCAGAGAAGGCTTGTGTTGGCCGAGGCCACACTGCGGCTCACTAGGCTAATCCTCCGCCTGCAGCGCCGGCACCCTGGGTTCTAGTCCCAGTTGGAGCGCCGGATTCTGTCCCAGTTGCTCCTCTTCCAGTCCAGCTCTCTGCTGTGGCCCGGGAAGGCAGTGGAGGATGGCCCAAGTGCTTGGGCCCTGAACCCGCATGGGAGACCATGAGGAAGCACCTGGCTCCTGGATTTGGATCGGGGCAGTGCGCCGGCCGCAGCGCGCTGGCCTTAGTGGCCATTTGGGGGGGTGAACCAACAGAAAGAAGACCTTTCTCTCTGTCTCTCTCTAACTCTGCCTGTCAAAACACACACACACACACACACACACACACACACACACACTTTGCATGTTGCTCACCCAGAGAAGGCTTGTGTTAAAGGAAAGCATGGATATTTCTGTGACACCCTCCCACCCCCGCTGCCTGCCTTAACAAAATTGTTTCCAGGTTTTGGAGAAGCAAACTTTATTTTTCTTCAACTAGATCCACCCAGAGACAGTTATAGAAAGCCCCAAATCCCAGACACTGTTTTGCCCACTTCAGCCCTGGAGACAACCAGATTGAATAGACAGTTGTATCACAAGGTGTTCCAGATGTGCAGCCACTCTGACCACTCTGAAACGTATCTGTTGAGTGTTCACTGTTCCATATATTTTGTGTGTCTGAAAAGCTTCAGTGAACGGCCACTCCACAGTGTGCCTAGCCTCAGCCATTAGAACTGTAGGCTGTCTTTTCTATTCCATTTCAGTGATTGGCAAAGAAAATTGGGATTTGGTTTACAAACGTGGAACTCAGCTACTCAGTTAAATGAGCATAACTTGATGATTTGAATGGGGCATTCTGTTCTAATCTATCTATGAGTTGGTTCTTTCTCTGTTCAGAAATGATTGCTGGCCTCTCTGGAAAAATATTTATTGAGTAAGAATCTATTTATAAGACAATTATGCATTGGGATTGCGGTCCAAGGAACTTAAAAAGAAAGGAAGTAATATTCGTTGAGTTCCACTAGATGTCATACATCTCAGGGTGCTTCGTGTTTATACACATTAGTTTCTCCAACTTCCTCATTAGGTACACTTTTTTTATTATAGTGAGAGGGACAAATAAAATGTTATGGGGGGGAGCATTTGACCTAGGGATCAAGACACCAGGTTAAGATGTTTGGGGCTGGCGGAGCAGGTTAGGCTGTGCATCCCATAATACAGCACCAGTTCGAGCCCTGACTGTTCTGTTTCAGATCCAGCTCCTTACCAGTGCACCTTCGAAAGCAGCATATGATGGCCAAAGTGCTTGGGTCCCTGCCACCCTTGAGGGAGACTGGGATGGAATTCTAGGCTCCTGGCTTCAGCCTGGCCGAACCCCAGCTATTGTAGGCATTCAGGGAGTGAACCAGTAGATCGAAGTTCTCTCTCTCTCTGTCTGTCTGTCTCTCTCTCTCTCCATCTCTCTATGTCTCTACTTATCTGTCACTCTGCTTTTCAAATAATTTTCTTTCTAACAAAAGGTACCCACATCCCACATTGGAGTGCTGTGTTTGAATCTCAGTTCTGGTTCCTGATTTAAGGTTTCTATTAATGCAGACCCTGGGAGGCAGTGGTGATGGCTTGAATAATTGGGTCTCTGCCACCCACGTGGGAGGTGTAGTCTGAGTTCCCAGCTCCCAGCTTTGGCCTCAGCTTACCCCCCATGATTATGGGCATTTTGGGAGTGAACAGTCAGATGGAACTCATTCCTTCTGTCTCTGCCTCTCAAATAAGTAAATCGCTTAATTAAAACATTATTATAGAGCTAAATTTAGGACAGAAGCTGGAGTCAAAGGGTAGAGCTGGGACTTGAATCCGGTGTCACCTGACTTCAAGCTCAGACACTGCTACCAAAACCAGAGAAAAGCGTGATTTGTTGGGGCAGAGTCCCCTCTGAAGTCTCATTACATATGCAGAGCAGAGCACTGTGTGTGCAGAGCGCCGTGTGGCATGAATGTAGTTAATCCTCAGAGGGGCCCTATAAGGTAGACAGTCCTGCCCATCACCTGTTACCCTCCATGTTACAGATTTAAAAAATCAAGAAGCTCAAAAAAGTCAAACAACTTACCCAGCCTCCTCTCGTGGCTCCTTTTTGGCTTGTCTGTTGGCCTCTGGTCCATAGTGAAGAAAGATCTTCACCCCATGCCCTAATTTCCACTTTCAAAGGTCCAGTGTGGAGCACGCAAAGTATAAAACCAAACAGATTCTGGCTATAAAGGAAATTCAGATGAACTAAACACAAAGGAATAAAGAGATGGCGTCTTGCATGGAAAGTGCCTCATTTCTTTCACTTTTGTCCTAGAAATGGTAAGCGTAGCTCATGGGAGGAGCTGCGTGAAACCTTCCGCGTGTCTGGGCTCCTTGCCGTCTTCCTTTTCAGGGGCCGGGCACTGTGGTGCAAGTATAAAGCTGAATAGCTACAAGCCAGGGCCTCAGAGCCCGACTCTGCCTTTGAAAACACAGCGCAATCTTTCTGTGCTTTGCTCACCCGAGCTGTTTAGTCGTGGCTTAGCCACTGTCTCCCTTTGACTAATGGTGTCTTAACAAAGCGGTTCCAATAAGAAGGGGGAAGTGGTGTAACATAATGATTAGTCTTGTAAAGAAAATAACTACCAGATGGACCTGCATGGCCATCTTTCTCACCCGTTCCCTGTGTATAATTACAGGGACCCAAATGGGCAGAGACCCCGTGCAGCCTCTGTGTGTCTGAGAGTGGGCCCAGCTTCCTGCTAACGCATACCCTGGGAGACAGCAGGTGATGGCTGTGGGCCCTGCAGCAGCCCCAGCTCCTGGGAGGGTGGTGAGTGCAGAGTTGAATCCTGAGCAGAGATTACACCTACAGTGTTGCTGTCAGCTCGCTGTTTTCACATGCCCATGTCCTTGCTGCAGGTGGATCAGGAGAGGGGTGACGCTGACAGGCATGGGTTAGGGCTGGGTGCAGGACTAGGGTCAGTGGGCAGGCTCCAGGCTCCTGAATAGAGCGAGTTTGTTGAGTGTGGTTAGTATTCAGACCCTGGAATTGGCAATATTGGGGTTCATGTGCACCCTTGGCCCTATTGTTGAGGGACTTTTTATTTTTTAAAAAAGATTTATTTATTTTTATTTATTTATTTGAAAGAGTTACCCAAAGAAAGGGAGGTGGCTGGTTCACTCTCCAAATAGTCTCCAAGGCCAGGGCTGTACCAGGCCAAAGCCAGGAGCCTCGAACTCTATCCTGGTCCCCACCCAGCACTCTTATGGGATGCCAACATCACGGGCAGTGGCTTAACCCAGTGTGGCCCAGTGCTGGCCCCTCTTATGGGACTTTGATAGGATGGGATCTTGTAACCTCCTCTAAGCCTTCATTGCTGCATTGCTAAAATGGGAGTATGCTCTGGCAGCAGCTACGACAGTCCTTGGGATAAAATGAGAGTGCAGATTTATCCAGCATTTATTGGCCATGGATTAAGTGCCTACCACACCTGCAGGGTTTTTGTGCTTTTTTCAGAAAAATTCCTGAAGGAACTTTAGACATTTGAAGTGATTGCTCTTGGGAAAAAAATATGAAAGAGACATTAACTCAAAAATTCACCATTTCAGAGTGAGCCTTGTGTCGCTGCTGAGTGACGGACTCTGGATTTCTGTCCTCTGACCATTTTCAAGGGGGACACTGTGTGTAAAGGGCTCCTGCCTCTGGGGAGCAACTTTGGGCTAAGATCCCAGGAGGAGGCCACAGCTGATGAGTAAAATGAGGGCTTGCAGGGTGGCGAGGGGGCTTGTGTTTGCCCCGCAGGTGACAAAGCTGGGGAGGGCTTGGCCAGGCAGAGCGCCCCGCTTCCTGGGAGCAGGACCTGCTGGCTTCTTAGCTGTTGTAGCCTTTGCTTCCTTTCTGATTTAGGGAAGAAAATGCTTCAGTTTCGGTCATTGGATATCCATTTTTTAAAAATTATTACTTTGTTTTCATTGTATCTGAAAGAGAATGAGAGCAAGAGAAAGAGAGAGATCTTCCACCCAGTGATTCACGCTCCTCCACCCTCATGGCCACAACAGTCAGGGATAGGCCAAAGCAAAGCCAGGAATCCAGAACTCAATCTAAATGCCCCATGGAGGTGACAGGAACCCAAATACTTGGAGCCATCACCTGCCGTCTCCCAGGGTACGCGTTAGCAGGAAGCTGGGTTAGAAGTGGAGCTGAGACTTGAACCCAAGCACTTGATATGGATGTAGGCATTCCAAGCAGTGGATTAACTCGGTACCAAAGCCTGCCCCTGGATGTTTAAATTTCAAAAGCTCTAACTACTCAGTCCTAGACCAGCTGGGCTGCTGCTTGCCTATTTCAAAATCAGCTGTTTATCAGGTGTTTACATTGAGAAAATTACAAAGCATTTGTTATGGCAAACTACCCCAAAGAACCAGTATTGGTTAAAATTTCTTTCCAATCAAAGACACCACCATTAAGGCAGCGTTAGCAGTCGGGAAAGCAGCATTGATGAGAGCCTTGGTCCTTATCCCATTTGTTCATTTGGTAGGATATAATTAAATGATCATTTAAATACCCTCTAACAGGAAACGTTTTGAGCCTGGGAGCAGGCCAAGTGTTTAAACAGAAGTCAATACCAACAAATCGCATGTGGTGTGATTGTAGCGCTTCAACTCTCTATTCATATTTCTTCTGAAAAATTAGAAATTAAGCTGAAGTTGTTAAGGTTGTTTGGAGGCAGGAGAGTGGAGAGGGAAAGCCACAGTTAAGCTCGGCGTGTTTGAGTTTGACCTTTGGCAATGAGCTGGAGAAACGCAAGGAGCTCAGCTCATCCTGAACTTTTCTCACACTTGATCCTTCCCAGCCTCCTGTGGAGAATCTTCTGCATGTCGCTTTATCGCTGCAGATCAGCCCCAAAACAGCCCCTGCAGCCTAGAGCCAGCGTCTCCCCCTGCACAGCGGGCAAGTCCAAGACTCTTGTAGAAAATAAGAACTCTGTCTTGTTTCCCACCCTCCCCCGCAATTGCATCTGGCAAGGAAATGTACATCAACTGGGTTGTTCCAGAGCCTTCTGTGCAGGCTACTAATGGCTGAGGAATGTTGTTTCAAGGATGGTCTCGTTTGTCCCCACCTAGAGAGATCCTTGAGGCCGGAAGCTGGACCTAGATGTCTTCATGAGGTTGGGTCTTTGAACTTTTGTTCAGATGTTGGCTTCCTGAGTAAACCATACCTGAATGACTTTCCTCTTGGAACTTCAACGTTGAGCCCTCTAGGGTGAGGACTGATACTGCTAGTTTACATGAGAGTATTTTCTATATTCTACACTGAAAGGGAGTAGTATAAAAGCGTGATTAGGGCCTAGAATTGGAGCACATGGGTTTGAATCTCAGCTTGATTTTTTTTCCTTCTCTTTGACATGGGACAGTTTTCCGCAATCACTCTCCCTCAGTGTCCCCACCTATATCACGAGGATATAGTGCCCATTTGTAAGATGGATTGGATGAAGCAAAACATTTAAACACTGTATAGCTTTTAGAACAGAGCAATCAGTCGATAAATGTTAGCTGCTACTGTTGTTAATGTAGTGTAGTAAGAACCATTTTATTTTTTTTATTTTTTTTGAATAAGAAGTTATCACAGATTTTCAACTCAATTTTGTGTTCATCTGATTGTGCGTTCTTCTTTCTACATCATTTGAGATTATCAAACTGAAGCCATCTCCCTCGGATTACTGTGTAACTGTGAGGTTTGGATCACCGATGAGTTGTGAGAGCCAGGCTTGTATGACATGTAAGATAACTTGCTCCAGCTCCCATGTATGTCTTTTTTATCTCTATAAGGCAGCAGAGCATGAAATGGACTTACTAAGACTTTCAGTGTCCAAAGCAGAAAGATATAAACTCTTTCATTTGCGAGTCAGCATCCTCAGATCTCAAGACTCATTCTGAACTTTTTATTCTGTTGTAGCAGTGAAAGTAGTTGCCTTTGTAGCAGCCCCAATTAGTTATGAAGATTGATAGCACTGTTTGATTCTTGGGATGGCAATGCTGTTTATTGAAAAACATAAAAAAGAAAAAAGAAAGGCCTGCACTGTGACACAGCAGGTTAAGCTGCTGCCTGCAACTGGTTCGTTGTGTCCCAGCTGCTCCACTTCCAATCTGGCTCCCTGCTAACATACCTGGGAGGAGCAGAAGATGGCCCAAGTCCTTAGGCCCCTGCCACCCAAGAGGGAGACGCAGGTGGAATTCTTGGCTCCTGGCTCTGGCCTGACTTAGCCCTGATTGTTGTAGTTATTTATGGAATGAACCGGCAGATCTTGATCTTGATCTTAATCTCTTTCTCTCTCCCTGTTTCTCTGTCTTTCCCCCTTTCAAGAATAGTGTATTTACAATAAGTGCCATGTTTAAACTGAACAAGCCAGAGAAGCGCATGCAGGTTCATAGTGCGTGTGAAGTTCTGGGTATCGTTATTTGTAACTGGGAACTTTTCAGAGGTGTATCAGTGAGTTTAATGTTTATACCAAAGAATGTTAAGTGATAGTTTTCACATCGGGGATCAATCTATTTTTATTCCTGTCTTACTTGAGGTGCCCTGACGTCTGCACCCCCTCACACGGTTGAATGTTATGCCTGTGTGACTGCCTGGGTGACTTCTACTTGTTTGATTTAAAGGGTTTCCCACTGACCAGCCTTAAACAGAGTGTTTTGTGTCAAACAGCTCTGCGTTTCATATGGATTGCACAGTAATGACTTTGTGAGAACACCCCCTCCCCCTTTTCAGTAAGACGCTGGATTTTCTGTTTTCCCTCCATGTTTGCATCTGACTGTTCACGCACACCCCCGCCCCTCCAAGTCCTCCCAAACAGAGATGACCATTGATGGGCCATGCGTGCACTCCGAAGCCTTCCGTGACATGCCATGAATGCTGCTGTTGAGAATGGTTGAAACAGACAGAAGGCGGCCGTGTAGACAGCGGGCGTTTGCTGGCCCAGTTGCAGGGGGGACGGGGGAGGGTAGGCGCCTTTGCACGCCACAGTGTCACTCATAGAAACTGCTCCTGAGGCATGTGGGGCCCTCTCCAGACATCCTTACGTGGTCGATCCAAGGCTGGACAGTACCTGGAGCCTTGAATTTCAGACTGAGTCCCGAATGTCCCCTTGCTTAAACTTGCCACGAGCTTGAAGATTTGTAGCCATTACTTCCGTAGTCCCTGAGTCCACTTAGGAAATTCCTACCATCTCTTTGCGGCTTGTGAATGAAGATTTGGATCCATTTCTTCCTTGCAGGGTGAAGAGACCAAAAGCCTGACTCTT